ACTCGCCGTCTGTTAGGCTGTGGTTCAGGATCAGCTAGGGGCGTTGCTGAGCAAGCAGGCTTTAGGTAGAAGCGGTGCAGAACATGATGGGAACAAGACCGGAGACGTGCTGTTTCCCTTCCTGGGCAGAGTGGATCTGGGTTAAGAAAGGCAGGACTCTGCTAAATCCTGCTCCTAGTTTTACCCGTTGGCCTTGAGGGGGGAGAGCTGGTAACAGAATATGGACCGTGGTGTTTGCACTCGTACAGAAACAAGCAATTTTAAAAATCACAATGGGAAAGGATGCGAAGCAAAGCAGAAAACTGTCTTCCCTGGGCATCTACAGAAATGGCATTGAGCTTTCCCTTGGCAGTTGTGTTTAGATGTAGAGCCCAGTTTTTATTTTATTTAAGAGCTCATAATGTGCTAGGTATCACATGTGATGCAGGAGAAGATGGAGTTGGTTCCCTGAAGAATTTTCAAGTGAAGTCCTTGTCGAATAAAGCATTTCCTTTACAGCCCTTGGCATACTCCGGCACTTCAGACTCAGACCAGCTCCCTCTGAAGTGATGGAGGTGTGCGTTATCAGGACTGTTGCTCTTTTGCATTGTCATTTAGTCTAGCAGGAAAGAAGGAACCGGTGACAAACATTTTAAAAATAGAGCTAGAGCGTAGTGGGGTCACCACCTCCAGCTGCTGTTCAACAGCAAGGACAGGCACATCTCAGTGGAGGTAGAGAAAAGAAAGGAATGCATGCAACTTAATTAAACCAATTGCTTTCCATGTCCCCTTTGCCATTGCAAAGCTTTGTATTTCAGCAGTGGCAATCTCCCTCATAGTGAAGAGTAGTGCTAAAGAGTACTTTGGTTTTCAAAGTGTCATTAAGGAGATTCGGATTTTGTTTCAGGTTCTTGTGTGTCTGAACCACTTGTGCTCGGGGGATTTGATTCAAAGGGATTTGTTTTGCCCTGTTCTTGTGGGTGGAATCCATCCCTGTGCAAAGGACCAGCACAAAACACATGCACTATGTGACACTGGAGGACCTAAGAGGAACTTCAGAGTCACTCAGATCTTCCCCTGAGTTGGTTTGGCTCCAGGACTCATTTATCTGAACCACCAAAATTTGAGTCATTCAAACAAGACATCTGGTAGCTGTCATGGGAAATATCTCCCAGTATGCGATTATTACATTGTTCGTTCCGAGAGGCTGATGTTGTGATCAAGGCACTGGGGCAGGGCCCAGAAGATCTAGGTTCTGTCCCTAGCTCTTCCTGTGAGACCATAGATGTGCTGCTTGTATTGTCCCCTCTGTCCCCCTCCTGCAGAACGGGGTATGAAAGCTTCCTTCCCCCTCCACTGTCTCTCTCACCTATTTGCAATCTAAGTTCCTTAGATCGGGGACTGTCTCTTACTAAGGGTTTGTAGCCAACTAGCTACAGCTTGACTTCCTAGAATTACTGTAATACAGATTATGGTTATTAATAACAACAGTAATAGTAGCACAGAAGACATGGAGGATGCTTTACAGATACATGAAAAATAGCAGGTCCCTACCACTGGCAGCTTGCACTTTAAAAGAAACTGACTCTGCAAATACATATTAATGCTGGAATCCATGCACACATTAACTCGATTAGACTATTTTATATGACTCAAGTGAATCAAATGTGCAAGGATTCACAGGGTTGAGACTTAAATTAGACCTCACACTGTAAGGTATGACAACGTACAGAATGTGGAGGGAAGGGGTAGGTGGGGATCAGGATAGAGAGGATGTCTACTGGGAGAAAAGTAAGTTTGAGGAGGTGACGAAGGTTTTGGAGTGAGTAGAAGCAGGATGGAGCACAAGACAGAGCAGACCCCAATGCCAGGGGAGAAAAAAGTCAGAAGCTTTGTCCTTGTCGAGTCTCCATCCCTGGAGGTGTTTAAGACCTGTCTGGACAAAGCAGTGGCTGGGATGATGTAGTTGGGGCTGGTGTTGCTCTGAGCAGGGCGTTGAACTAGATGTGATCTCCTGAGGTCCCTTTCAGCCCTAATTTTCTGTGATTCTGTGAAGCAGAGATGTGGGTGTACTGGGCCTCAGTATGATCCCACACTAGTCAGATCATGACTGTTTAGGTGGAGTCAATGGTGCATGTGAGAGGAGGAGAACCACAGTGGAAGGGGTAGTACTGGGCGGGAAAGAGCCAGGAAGAGTCTGATAACGACATTTTTTGTCTTCTCCAGCCTGATTCCCCAGTAAATCCACAGGAGCTTTGTGCATTGTTTCAGCCTGGTGTACAGTCCAGTGGCACTGTTAGACAACTCAGTGTTATAGGCTCAGTTGTGCATTGAGGTCAAGGAGAGTGGAAGGTGCCATACATCTCATGGGACCAGTTATGGGTCTAGTTTGCCCTGCATGCTTACCATGAAGTGAGCATGGACACATTTGGTCAGTCCGAGATCCCCTAAGCCTGTGTCCTGTGCAGTCAGATTCCCTGGGTTTGAACTCAAGCCACATCAAAAGAAAACAATAATCATCATTCCTTTAATGAGCTATGTAATTAATAGTGTCAGAGTGATGTCATAGCTGTGATGGTCCAGGAGTTACACCAGAGGCAAAGACCTGAAAAAGGTCTTGCAAGAAAAACCTTGTCTAACTTTATCCCAACTATGCAATTAGTCTTCTAAAAGATGTCACCTAAAGAAATCCTTGCCTCCGGTGTAATTAGGGAATGTGGAGAGGGGAATCTTACTCTTTTCTACCTTTAGGTAACTTTAAACACTTGAATGAATCAGCCTGGAGAAGAAGAGAACAAGGTGTTAATTGGCAGTGTCTTGGAATTATCTGCAAATTGGACTGAAAGACAGGGAAAGTTTGGAGCGGAGATTTTGAAATCTAAGAATTTCCCTCTTTGTGAGCATTGTGCTGCTCTGGGGGTAGGTCCAGCTGGAAAAGCAACAAGAAAGATGCTGAGCAAACAGTTTGCTCTTGGCAAGGGGTCAGAGCTCAGCCAGAAGATGAGACTACACAGGAATGAGTACCTGGGAGTTTGCAGGATGGGATGCAAGGACCATCACCTCCTGATTATTGTGGCTGCCTACAGCAGCCTATTTTCACTGCACTTAGCCCAGAGTAGCCTCCCTCAAGTTTGTTCTGGCTCCCTACATTGCACTGCTAGAGGCATAGCAGTGAGGAGCATCTAACAGGGAAAACCTTACTCCAAGGACTGTTTAAGTGCTTTATGTTAAATAGGCATTGGAGTGAAGACTGGAACTTCACATCTCTTCCATCACAAATTAGGCCTCTGTTGCCTGGTGGCTAGCACATCCACCTGGGAGATGTGGGTGCTCATTGTATCAAGCAGAAACTGAGGTGGCCGTTACTCATGAGAACTAAATCTTGAGTTTCCAGATGGCAGAGATGACTTCAAAAACATGCGGGAAAGAGAATTCATTTCCAGATACATTTCTAGTTTTAGGGGGCATGTGAACATTTTTGATCATCCCCTAAATGTTCTGAGATTTGCTTAGAAACATAAAAAATGAGGGCTGGAAGGGACCTCAGGAGGTCACACCTAGTCCAACCCCCTTCTCAAAGCAGGACCAGCCCCAACTACATCATCTCAGACAAGAGTTTGTGTAGCCGGGTTTTAAACACGTCCAAACATGGCACACTGGTGGCTCATACACTGCTTATTGTCCACCGTCTCCCCCAGCCTTTTTTGCAGGGCTGTTGCTTAGCCACTCGGCCCCCAGCCTGCACCGGTGCATGGGCTCGTTCCCTCCTAAGTGCAGGACTTTGCACGTGTCCTTATCGATATTGCAGTTTTCCTGAGTTGCATGATAAGGGTTGGGATAACTGGGTTTCCAATGGAGTTTTCTTGGTTCCAGTCAACAGCCCAGTGCAGGAACAAGTAAGCTGCTCCATCCCCAGAGAGCTCACAAATGAATATGCCTCCATCTTGCTGTGGGATCTGCACAGGGAGATTGGCTTCTGACAGCATAAGCCACTTTCAGGATCTGAGTCTACAGCCGGGATTTGAGGAGAAGCCTGGAGGGATGAGAGGAAGGAGCTACCAGGGGGAAATACTTTTTCATGCTTGTTCTAATTATTCTCATCCCATGGTTCTCAGCCTTTTCACACTCAAGGCACCCTTTGTTAGACTCAAGGCACAGCCTGGAAAATGCCAGCTCTTTGCTTTCACTCTATAGTAAAAAACACTGAAAAATCCCAAGATCAGAATATTTTTGATGCTGCAGATTCATGCGTGAAATCTCTGGGTATATCTCGCAAATTGTGCACTGGCATTTGCACCCCAAACCGTGCTGGTACGGTAATAGGATCTGATAGCACCACAGCACCTGTTGAGAATCACTGCTCTAAACCATTTCCCACACCTCCTTTCAGTTGTGATTTCTCTTTCACATCTTCTGCCAGGAGCAGAAGGCAGCAAGATCCTTTTAACTTGTGAAACCACAATAAAAGCAGGAAAGTTGCCGTCTCCCTCCTGCAAACAAGAACTAAGTTTTCCCCTTTAGAAAAGACAAGTGTTTGACAGAGATAACCAGAAGGGCTGTGGGTTATGCAGATGTTAATTAGCATTTGAAAGGAAGGGGGCTCGGAGCAGTGTAAAAAAGATGACTGTAGCTGCTGCAGGGTGCAGTTGAGATGCTTTTGCCTCTGTAGAGGAAAGGAAGCAGTTAAGTCAGTTTAAGTGACTTAAATAGTTTGATTTCAAGAGCCAAAAATGACACCCTGCTCCCCTGCTCGGTGGGTTGTGGATGGTTTGCTCTGTCTATCCGATCACATGGTCCACTGGCCCCTAGTGCTGCAGAAGCACCAGCTGCGACTGCTCCCGCTGCTGATCAGGGTCCATCCCAGCCTGTGTGTCAATGCCTTGCAGCCTCAGCCTCCACTTGAAAGGAGGGAGCACCCAGGCTGAGCCCTTGAGTTTATGGGTGGGGATCTGGGACACACCCTGCTGCTCCCCGAGGCTGCAAACCTTAACCATGTCTATCTGTTGTTGTCTGTTTTTCAGGGAATATGGATCCTCCAAAAGGAAATCAGGTAAGAGACCAGCCTTTCTGAATACTGCATAGCTACTGGATGGAGGGGGGGCAAAGAGAGAGAGGGCGGGGGGAAGAAAAACACCTTTCTCTTTATTTCTTGTTGTATGAAATTATGTGGGATTTAACTTTTCTTGCTGCTCAAGTCTGTTGGCAATAAAGGCATCAAATGGTTTTTGTAGCTGCGGAGAGGGGAGAAAAAAAGTCTGTCGAGCTGTAATTTCAACCAAAAATGTCTAACCCCCTTCTGCCTGTGTGAAGGCAGTGTCTGCTCCAGTCGAAGAGGAGAGCTGCCGTAAATGAACTCCTCTTTTGATCTGTCTCTACCTGAGCACGTCACTAAAGAACTCCCCCAGTTTCTCCGTGGGGATGTAAGGATACGGCTTTTGTGTGGCTGGAGCCTTATTTTTGTAGCCCAACAGCTCCTGTTCTCCAAGGGGGGAGGTGGGGAGATCTTGTAAATACCTTTATTGTGGAGTGGTTTTTAATTTTTTTGGGTGGTGGACGGTGCAGGAATCTGGGGTGCAGGCGGCTCCGAGGCAGTGGCTGGGGGTGGTGGTGTTCACTACCTTTTGGATTCTGTTGCTTTCTGTAATCCCAGTTTGAAAATGTAAATCTAGACTTCTTTTTTCCTCCCTTTTTTGTCTCCTTTTGCCCTTTCTATGCAGCTCCAGTGACTTATGGACAAAATTAAAATGACTTACAGTTTTATGTGCAGCTGAAAGACTGAGACACCCTAAATCAGATCAGTTAGGCCTGACTCTTTTGGGTTTTTTTCCCCTCCCCCAAAGGTGCTGACCACTTCTAAATTTTGGATTTTGATTCTTGGGTGCTCTGAACCCCTAAGAATCAAATCCAAGGTATCTCCCACACTGTACCCCAAATCAGTAGTGACTTGTGAATACTCCTGGTCTCTGTATTTGTAAAATGTGTGGTGGGTGGGGAGCCAGGATGCTCCCTCTGGGAGGAGAAAAGGTTAATGTGACATCCTTGTGGGAGAGAGGGAAGGGGAGAGAAATTGCTCGGATTGATTAGTCTGTTAATTATGACTGCTTTTATGTTGCAATCCTGTAATAAGCTAAGTGGTATACTAATGGGTTGCTGTTAGCTGACCCCACTCCTGTGGATATGCTAGAAGGGCCCTGCAAAACCATCTGATTTCTATCTGCAGGTCAAGGGTGGTGCCATGCTTTAGACTGAGTAACTGCTGAGCTGCTCTAGGTGATTATGGCAGGGCAGATGTAAGATGAGATACAGCTCTGCTATCCTACATCTTTTCTCCTGTAACAGTCTTCATCATCCTCACTCTGTACAAAAATTGTGTGTGGTTTACAGAAATCCTGCCCTCTCTAAAAGGGCGACTTATACTCGACATCTAGATGTGCTTCTTAGCAGGCATGCTGTCCCTAGTATTTCAACACAAGACTTACCTTCACAACACTGGGACTAAATTGGTAAACGGTATCCTCTTAATACAGGAGGATACTCAAGACATGGAGCAGTCTGGGTGAAAGCTGGTATGTGAAGTAGGGAGTGCTGTCTTGTAGTTGGAGGTCTGGACAACTGGGTGATTTATCTCTCAAGATGGCACACAGCTATAAAGTTTCTTTCCTCTTTCAGACTACAATAAAATAATATGCAGACATGTAGAGTGAAGATCTAAAGCCCTCCGAGGCATATTTTCCCTCCCACTAAAGGTTAAACCTGCAAACTGCTTGTTGATGAGGCATTTATATATGGAAATGGCTATCCAGCCTACCCTTCTGATGGTCATAATGCATTCTTTCCCCTGTAGTCTGTTTAAACAAAACCATTTTCCTCCTGCTAATATTTGTGCTAATGCTCGAAACAAAATACTTCATCCTCTTTCAAGCTTTGCAACTCAAACATTGATTTAGCTTATGTGATGTGTTTCCACTTGGTTTTGTTTTTATAGTGGGGGGTGGGGGGGAGATGCTTCTTCTGGGCTTTGTGCAAAAGCTGTGCCTTTCTGCATTGAGATGCCTTTTTTTTTGCCCTCTCCCTCTGTAGTTAAGAAGCAAATACAGGCCCTTTCTTGGCTGAGTCTCTCTCCTATATTATTGCTGCAGACCCCCATGGAGCCTGCCCTCCAGGGACAGGTGCTGTGCTGCCTCTAATTTCACAGGTGTCTGTAATATTGGCCTTGTTTGCAAAACGCACATTAAGCTAAAGTAAATGCAGGCATTTGTGGGCTAAAGAGAAATTGAAATGTGGATGATTGGACACTGGAAAATGGCCAGGTCCGAACTGCTTAATTAAATGCATTTCTATGAGCAATGAATTTGTATTAGCAAGTTGGTGCAGTTCTGGGCTCTGATATCTGTGCTTGGAGTCTAGAAACAGGGGCTCTGACCTGCACTACAAGTCGCTGGGCTGAACTGACCCTGGCATCATTTTTTTTTTGAGTCAATACTTGAGCTAGGGAGGAGTTTGGTCACTGTGCCTCAGTTTACCAGCCGCCTGCAAATGAGACTGGCATTGTCCCTTACAGGACTAGATTGGACTGTGGCCTGGGCTTCTGCCTGTAGGTGTCAAATATCTGGGCTCAAACCCCCAGGGGTCCTGACCAGGAGAAACAGGACATTTCCTAATGTCACAGGATATGCTAATGGTAGCAGTGGCATTGGACTCTTAGATTACAGAATGCATTCAAAGGTGATGGGTTCAAATCCCATTAGAGTTGAGCTCTTAACAGTTACTTCCTCTGTGATTCTATACATAAAGCCTGGGCTGGGGTGACATAGTCAGGGCTGGTCCTGCTTGCGGGGGGGAGGGGGTTTGGACCTGATGTGACCTCCTGAGGTCCCTTCCAGCCCAAATTGTCTATGATTCTGAAACATCTGAATAGGTAGCTTAAAAAAAAATCTTCCTCTGTGCTTTTTAGAAAGCTACACCCCTCCATAAAACAAGGGAACAAATATCTGTGGCCCAGCAACTAAAGCTAGTTTGTAAGCAAGTCTTGAGCCTCAAGTCCGAGATGTGCTGGAAGAAAGCTTGGCCCCATAAATGCTGTGAAGGCACTGCTGGAATTCGGCACCTGTTGTACGTGCCGCGCAAATGGTGGACACAACAGGAATCTGATGAATGTCTGTGGAGACCGCTGCCTGCTTTATTTGTCAAATGCTTGCTATTCAGAGCCCAAAATAATCTAGAGTGGGTTTCCCCTCTTCCTCCCTTAGAAAAGCAGTGGGGGGACTGAACAGAGTCATAGAGCTTAATGAATGGGTTTTTTTTCTCCAACACCTGAAAGACTTCACACATCAGCTGCAAATGTCTCCTTGTGATGCTGTGAATTGGGTACAGCTGTTTGCACTAGTGGCCTGATTGGGTTTTTTAATGCTACCTTCTGCAAGGCATTTGGCTGTCTGAGCACTGCTGCATGGCAGGAAGGCGCAGGCGTGGGTTGGGGTCTCATTGTGCTACACTCCTGCCTCAGACTGAATTGAAGCATAACTATTCCGGTCTCCAAGTCACTGGAGTTGACGGAGCCCTGCTGAAGCGAGTACGAATTGGCCTGGGCAGAGATTTGCTTGCATAATTTGGGCCAGTGTTACTAGCACTTATTACTTGGGATTTCTTGACTCTTTAAGACTTCCCCTGATATGCTACAAGATTTGCTTCTCATCTGTCTGGCTTATTGGTTCAGAGGAGGTGAACTGTCGGGGCTGGATGGAAGTTGCTATATTCTGGGCCCATCAGTCAGCTGTAAGGAGGCCCGACACATCCCGTATGTTAATAATGCATGATCTCCGTTGGCTTTCTTTGCTGGGCCCCCAGGGATGAGAAGGAAGGAAGAAGTTATTCTCCATACCCAGATTAGGTTGAGCCAATTAACCAAATACATGTGGAAAGCCGCTAACCATATTTATTGCCGTTTCTTTCTGAGCATCCATTCTCCCGACCTCTCTCAAAGACGGAGAGGGCAAAGTCTACCAGTGGTTATTTGCCAGCAACATTACAGACTGCAAATTAGGTTAATCCACTTTCCAAATCTAGCAAATTCCCATCTGTACATGGGGGGGGGGGGACTAATTAACCCTGAAGACATTTGCTAATCCTGCAGGAGTGTAAAGCAGGTTTAGTGCTGACCTATTCCCTCTGTTGAGTCCTCCAGGAGGTGCTGTTCTGCTGGGTGTTCGGCTAAGAGAAGCGTAACACTGAAGTGCAGGCATGCTTCCTGTCTCCAGCCCCAAGTTTCTCTATTTCCCTGCCTGCCTTATGCCAGAAACTGTTGTCAGATCCTGCCCATGCTGCACGACAGAAGCATCTGAGTCATGGCATCCTTGAAGGCTAGGAGCAAAAAAGAAACTGGGACAGGCACCAGAGCTTTTTTTTTTTCCCCATGGTGATGACTTTTTTTTTTTTGGCATTTAAGTGTTAGGGGGAGAGAGTGGAAGAAAAGCTGGGTCTTTCAAAGAATGACCTTCATGTTGGAGGCTCCAGGAAGTCAAGCCATTGCTCTACGGGGCACAACAGGCTGAGACATGCAGCCCATGGTTTTGATTCTAAATTGTTTTTCCTATTGGGACCTTTTCTGTCATGTTTTTTACGTAGCAGGGTGCCACGTGGGGCTGGGGGAAATAAAACGAACACTTCCAGCTTCTCCTTGATGAATTGCTGTCTTAGTTGACTTGGGATTTGTTTTTAAAGGCATATTTGGCAGCTGGTTTATTTTAATAATTTTTATCTTGCATGTGATGTAACAGATATTTGAATATGGCAGGGTTTATCAGTTTTGTCTTTGAGTTCACATTAGTATAATGATAGCGTTGAGTCTCTAGACTGTTTCGTGGGGTGCATGTATGCATTAAGCATATATAAAACTTAGGTTGAAAATCTGGCTAACTAAACTAAAAGAGCCAGTACATAAAATGGGGAGGAAGGAAGGAATGCTCAATAAAGATGCTCATTTAAATCATGAATCCCTTTCAAATGGATCTGAAATTCCAACTTAACGGTGATCTCTTGTCTCCCTGCGGC